CGATCCGTTTCTATTTTTTTTTCTTTCTTTTTAACAATTGTCGTGCGCAACCAGCGTGGCGACACGTTTTGCAGCGTCGCGCAACGTACGGTTCGCGGCCGAGAGCTTCGTGGCTTTAAAGATAACAGTTTTTTTTTTTTTTCGGATCGTCAGGAACCGGTTCGGAGGAGGAGCCACGAAACTCCGATAGGAGTTACTTACGGATTGCAGCGATATTAAGAATATACATATTTTTACGAGGTAAGACAGAAAAAATTGATTTACATGAAATACAATTATTAAATTAAATATAATATGTATTTAACTCTTTTTTTCATATTTAACAATTATAAAAATAAAAATCACCAGTTTATTTTTTAATCGATTTCCTTGATCGGTCACGAAATAATTCGAAAATATCGAGAAAGATCATCGTTCTTTTTTTTGACTTTGCATATTTTTGTGATCAAGTTTTAAATCACGGCACGGTTCAAAATAAAGCGTCTTGAAGTTCATTAAAAAATTCTGGAAAATATTTTTCTGTAAAGTTCAGCTTGTCTTTTAAAAAAAATCTCTTATTTTCCGTTGTAATAATTAATCGGAAATCGTAAAGACTTTGAAAAGGAAAATCGATTCCAAAACAGCTGAAGAATCTGCTGCCCGCGACACCTCGTAGGTAATTATTACTCTTCAGAAGTGATAATTAAATTGCAACTGTCATGTACAAAAAAAGGCGATAAAAAACGTTCGAAGAAAGAGATGCACGATACGTTTGGGTAGCCAACAATTTATTTATAGCGACGATAAGTGCGCAACAGGTTTCCACACATTTTGCGGAAGTCGCGCGATTACATAACGCCAAGTGTCACACTTCCTAGTAATGTAAAAAAAAACGAATAAAAGGAAAAAAAAGAGAAAGAGAGAGAGAGAATGACAAACGCGCGCCATCCGAAAGGAAAAGTCTCCTAATGAAACCGGCGCCAGAGTTGCACGTGGCGCGCGATAAGGATTACGAGATCGGAATATATCCTTAATCCAAAAGAACTCAAAGGATCAAGACCGAGGAAGAAATTAGAGCGTAAAGGGGCAGCCGATGCGATGTCCTCGTGTCTCCAAACGTCAGCATACGCGACGTTCCAAGGAAGGCTCTTTTTCTTCGATTTTTCGGCCGCAGGTAATCGGCCGGGCGCGTCCGGAGCGCATATTCGGAGCATATTCAGAGCGCGAGAGAGCAGGTGGAAGCGGTTCTGGAGCAGGAACTGGTTTGGTGGGAGCCGCAAGGTGGTCCCCGCTGGTCGGTACCTCTCGGTGTACGCCGGCACGCCGCGCGCCGCGGCCGCCGCTCTCGGAGTCGGTATACGCTGGCACGTTGTCGCACGAGTATATTCATGCCAGTGGCGGGAGTCCCCGAGGGAAGCCGGTGGGGCCTGCACGCTCACTTCGCCGACAAGTGATCGTTTACAGTTATAGTCAGTCCGCATTGGGCGCTCGGCCGGCCCTGACTGTATATCGGCAACACACGGTAGAGCCGCTGATAAAGTTTCAGCTCCTGACTTTTTCGGATACGCGCTTCGAGGCCTCGTCCCTTTCTTTTCTCTCTCTTTCTCTCTCGCCCTTTTTCCTCGAGACGAGAGATCGCGATCGTGCCGAATAACAAGTGATTCCGGGAACCTTCTCTCCCTCCCTCCTCCCACCCTCTCTCTCGTTCTTTGACGTTTTTCTCAAATTACCTTATCGTCATCAAGGCGATAATCATCGTCGTCGACGTAAGAACGACATTGCTGGGACTTTTGAGTTTGAAATTGACAACGGCGATCGCGACGCTGACAGGGGCGTTATTGATAACCGCTCCGCGGGGCCGAGGAACGTACGATGATTTAGTGGCAAGATCAAGTGAGTGTCGTGTGAAAGGAAAAGTGTGCGGGACGTTCGGCGCGGCGAAAAGCGCGCCTAGTGCCAGACGCCACAGTTTCAGTGAGCGCGCACTCGCCGCACTTATACGAGGCACTGATGGGGAATAATCGGCCGACGAGGTAAATACATTTTTGCAATTTTTACACTCGCGACACGAGCGAGCGAGCGTGCGAGCGAGCGAGTGAACACGTCCGCACTTTTACGCCGCTTCGGAATGCGGACCGCTCACGCGATCCGGAACCGCAACGTCGATCTTTCGAACGACGTCGACCGTGGGGTCTCGTTCGCGAACTGTCAAGTGCTTTCTAACGCGCGCGTTAATATCTCTATGTAAAAAAAAGGAAAAAAACTAATAATAAAAGGACTTGAAACGCGATTTTTATCCCAGGTAACACAATGTCCAAAATCGGGACATAAGACGTCTTAAAGACGTCTTAATGGCATCTTAAAACGTCATATGTCCCGATTTTGGACACTGTGTTATCTGGGATGGTTTTTCTCGAAATGCACTTGTTTTCTACTCTCCCGAAATGCAAATTTAAAAATAATTTAGATAAGAACGAGACAAATTTGATTTAAATTATTCGAAAATAATCGTACTCTTTCGACAGCGTTCGAGAATTCGGTGATATCTTTTGGGCCCGAAGAAAACCCGAACGCTCGAATAGCTTACGTAGCGACGCGGCGCGCGGCGCGGCGTGGCGGATACGGTATTCCACCGTAAATCACCACCGTAGCACGTCGAAGGTTATCGCGTAAATTGTCGGAGATCGTTCGATCGTAACACAACGGATGAGCGTCTTCCCGACAATGAATACCGCCTGATAATACGTCGCCGTGTCCGCCGAAATTTTCCAGAAAATTAAAACGCGAGACCGAACATTTCCTGCCGCTGTTTACGTCGCCCTTGACACTTTATCCGATAAGCGGGTACTTTTCTCTTCGCGCGTCAAGAGCACCGAGTATATCTGTACTGATAATAAAAGCAAATTAATGCTCGATAATACGAATACATGGCAATCAAAATGGCGTGCTGTTTTCGAACGCTCTCCAACAAAAACATTTCGATAAGAGCACTGGAACTTTTAATAGTTCCTCCATATATGTGTACTATATATCTATAATAATATAAAAAGAAGTGCAAACTATTAAAATTCTCAGAACTCTTATCTAAATGTTCATATAATTCTGAATAACATATTTATTATATAATATATATAAAACTCTCACATATACATATATAACATATATGCATTATATGTGTATGTATAATATACCATAACTCATGGAATAGCGAGAACGTGCGGCAGAGAGAAACAGCAATAGCGTTACGATAAGTTACTGCAGTAGCATTATCGATATCGGATACGACCGCGCGCTATTAAAAGATAGAGAAACGACTTTGTTATTATGCAGCGTAATTCTCGCGAAATTCACGTATCACCGAGTAAATGAAAAATTGTCCTGAAAATTGCGCCTCGCGTTTCGCGCGAAACGGCATTTCGTCACTTTCGGCGGATTGTAGGTCGATATATTGTCATGTTTGCTGGGCAATAATGCGCGCGTTAACACAATACGAGCGTGCGTTTACGAATCGAATGTGCGTGGGGCTGCAAATTTTTGACACCGACGCATCCGCTCGGCGATTAATTACAATCGCGTCAAGATACGATCCAAAAATACGAATAACGAATTCGTCGTGACTACGCGTCGTGAGAAACTTCGCATAAACTTATTTATATTCATTCGAGACGTGAAAAAGATATGTGTTAAAGTAAATGAAATAAACAAAATGTCGAAATGTAAGGAAATATATTGAGAATTTTGTAATTTTTATATTTTCGAAAAAATATTGATGCAGCGCGCATCACATTCCTATCCTTTTTTCAACGTATTTCGAAATGACGAACCTATATGAAAAATTTCGGCATTGAATACGAATTTCTTCGTGAAGTACTCGGGAGGCTCGAAAAAATCGAAAGCTAATAATTCCCGATAATATCGTGCATTATGAAACTCCGCTGTATTGCTCAATCTTCTAGGCAGCCCGGGCAGCGTCTGGCTGCGTTACTGTTCGTGCGTTTACGCGTCAAGGCTTGACGAAATCGTAATATCCATCAAGAGCAATCGCATGAGCGCTCGATAACGGGAGAAAGTGTATTGTGAGATCCGTGGAGCCGCGTCTCGCTTCCACCTCAAATCACCCCGATCTCGATTTGACAGCTGGATTGGCCCCAATCTGACATGTGCGTGCGCGCGCGCAGCCACGAGCGGGAATTCTTGGCATTGAAGAGAGCAAAGCAGGAAAAATGGGATATCCCGATTCGATTATCTTTACCCGCACGCGCACATGTTGACGTCTCTTACTTTCTCCCTCTTCCTTCTTTTCCTATCTCACCTCGCCTCGCGTTGACAGAGCTTCCAATTTTTTTTTTCTACAGAAACGGCAATCAGTCGTGACTTATAGTCTGGTAGTCGAGTATTTCAGAATCGTCGAACGAGACATTAGCGTCAGCCTCGGTAATGACGTTTAATCTTGATCGATGATTCTGAAACTTCCTCGCCATGAATCGTAACGTAAATCGCGTTGCGTTATATGTGCGTCCCATAAGATGCAATTTACCACAAACATTGCACATTATAATGATATACCACATTTCGTCGTATTTTTATCTAGCATATTTAGCAAGTATAAATCTTATAAAGCGTATAAAAATATATATTTTTATCTTTTTCGAAAGCTCAGATAATATATCATTATTTTATCTTGCGTAAACTTATTTATATATTTATAGCACACACTGTAGACGTGATATAACTAAATCCTCACGTCGTGTTTTTTACAGATAGAGATTATATACAGTATTATATGTACAGTACTGTAAGCTCTTAATGTGTTAAAGATATTAATTTCTTTAGCTACTTGTCTTATCATTTATTACAAGCTTGTATTTACTTTCTTTCGTTCATGATCACGGAAAGGATAGGAAGAACCGGACGATGCTCGCGTGGGAAGGGCATTTCCTGCTTTCTTTTCTACCGCACAGGTTTTTTTGAAGATGAACGGTCTGTTACAGGGGGACCGAGCTGTGATTTCGATCAGGATAATGCGAAGCCTTGATAGGCTATCGGGTAGCGACCAAGACTGCGGTGATCGGGAAATGTACATCGACCTGGACGACGCCTCCGTCGACTCGCTTACCGGGAAACGTACTCGCCACCATGTCGCGGAGGTATATCATCTATTCTCTCTCCACTCTGTCGTTTCCCTTCTTTATCGCACTCAGCTGCGCGTTATCTCACCTGAGGCTTTTAAAGTTCCATTTACTCCGAATAAGAAAAGATACTCGACCCACATAAGTCACCATTATCATGCCGAATTGATAAGATTTAAGGTTTTTCCGGCACCGTGCACTTTTCGATTTGTATAAGCTCAACGCAATTTGCAATAGATAATAATTCGTGACGAGAGACACGAGTACGGTGTTTGGTGTGCGATGCGGTGTAAGCGAAATCAATTAGTTATACGATCGAATTCGATGAATAGATAATAAATCAGATCCAGAAATAAATCGTTAAATATAACAGATGACGTCTCATTACTAGCTATCCGAATTGAGTAAATAACCTTTTTTATCAGTGTTGTGCAGCACCGAAGAAAATTGCTAACATTTTATCAGTCGGGTTTCATCGGTTAAACGCTTAAACGTTTACAATTAGACAAATACTCGCGAAGCGCGTTCTTGAAAGGAGAGACAAGAAGGTAAAACGAGACAAAAGTTAAATGAATTCCTTTATTGATGAAAATAGCATGGTAAGATCTTCTCATCTAGATTAGATTAGAAAATACCATTATGTAACACCGGTAACACGTTATCGCGCATTAATATAATCAACTTTGCTCGTGTCGATTATATTCGGATGTAGGCGCACTTATGGATATAATAAAACATCCTCTGTGAAATATACATTCGTAAGCTAATTCTTTCTTTTCTTATAAAAAGTAATTAAGAAAAATTAATAATATGTATTTCTTAACGTGTTGTTAAAATGAGACCGAAACAAAGAATTTGTATTGTAATAAGATATTTATATTATCGCGTCATGCATAAAATATACATGAGATATTTACAAGCATTCTGTGTTTCTTGAATTGATTGAGGCGTCGCAATACCAATGCAATTTTCAAATGTAAATTGTTTCTTTTTGAGAAGTCCTGAAATGGAAATTCGCTCGTATATCTATCATCGTGCGCATCGTGCCGCGCTATGAAAACTCCGTGGCAAATATTTGACAAAGATCTGTCTATCCTTTTATGAACCGGACGAAAATAGGTGGGCGAGGAGAGCGACAGCAGCGGGAGCGAGAGGAGCCCGAAGCAGGCGAAGAGAAGAAATCGCGGTAGCGCGCCGCCGGCCACGAGGAGACGGAAAAGCGGAATTTCCGCTCGCGAGAGGAACTTGAGGAGGCTCGAAAGTAACGAGAGAGAGAGAATGAGAATGCACTCCCTCAACGATGCCTTTGAGGTAACAGTTTATTGCTTCCTCCAGGCAGCTTTCGCTTCATCGCGTCGATGAGCGCGACGAACTTTGCTAAAAACTTTCGAAGAACGAGAGACTTTCGCTACGGAACATTAAATTGCGAACAATAAAAGTGAAAATAATCAAGTACGATCGATCTTTATCCCATAAACACATTCACCTGTGAGATTGCTAACAATAAGTAACAAAAATAGTATTATACATTCAAAATAGAGGAAGTTCGGGTATTTTGAACCTAAGCCTTTTTTAATATAACTGGAAACTATTAAAGATAGCTGAACTTTGTTTACGTCGAGTCGTAATGCCAAATGTTTTGTTACCAATGTGTTTCTAACCAATTTCGTTTATTTGTAGTGAGTTTAATGTTATAGCAAAATTTTCCAAGATAGATTTTTGTCGGGTAATTTGAATCGTGTCGGGCAAGGTAAACCACTTTATTAATCTTGCAAAAAAATAATTTTTATCGTGTTTTAAAGTTAATAATAAAAAGATGTTAATAATAAAATAGTCTATAATTATTATTATATTATACATTTAATTTATAGTAATTTATTACAAACTGAAATTTTTATAACAATGTTATATAAATATGTATGAAACATGTTTGAAAAACTTTTTTATTATCTAATATAATAACATATACACATAATAATATAAAACTTTTTACTTATAAACTTTACTCATAAAATAAAACGCATTTAAAAAAGGGAATTATCTCGATTTGTCCGACATCACTATTTTTACCTTTTCATCGTATAAAATAGAAAAATATACACCATATGACACTTGCTAAGTATACCACACTAAAGTTCTATCTTAGTTATGCAACAAAAGGCAATTAAGAATCTGTTAAGCAGATTAATCGCAAAATAAAAGTTTATATACTAACCTTACGCTGTATGCGGTACACGCTAAATTTTCAATTTTAATTTATTATTTAACGACGCGTTGTGCCACGCTGCCGCTTTGTATGTTAGATTATGGGCCCGGCAGCTAGTAACTCCACTGCTGTCCGCTAGATTGTAACACTTTTAATATTTTAGATATCGCGGTGGTTTTATTTATAAGAATATTTCACCTTACCCGAACTTCCTCTACTTTAGCAAATAATTTTTTTTAAAAAATATAGTCAAAAAATATAATCTTTTTTTACTAATGTTTTTTTTTGTAATATTTAAAGAAAGATTCGTTTACTTAATTTTATTATATTACGATCATCTTCCTTATTACCACGCAAAACGTTGTTGATCGACGTTGAACGTCATAAATGCAAACGCCAGCAAAATATGTGATAGAAAAATCGATTTGTGCGGAAGATAAATGGCGACAACTCGCAGCTGCAGCTCTATCCGATAAGCAATTCGTTTTATTGATAGGTCATACGTAGCATCGTTAAAAATGTATCAACTTTCGACTGTATATATTTGATTAGATTGCAATCCGGCGCCGTTATTTATCGCGCGAATGCGACTCGATATAGTAGATAGGCTTTCAATCTTCTCGTTGTAATTTTCAGCAATTACGCGAGGTAATACCACACGTAAAAATGGAGAGGAAGCTCAGCAAGATAGAAACGCTCACGTTGGCTAAAAATTATATAATGGCACTGACGAATGTCATATGCGAGATGCGCGGCGAAGAACAACCGTACACGTGAGTATCGTTCTATCTAGTATTTTTTTTTTTCAATCGCGGCGCAGCGTGAAATAATTTCTCGATACATCAGAATTAATTGAAATAAAGAGAAAAAATGAATAAATATTTTACGTGGATATAAAGTATTAACAAGTATCGAAATGAGATGGAGAAATAAACTTTTTTACGAAATTTTATTTTATATATTAAATATATTAGAATATGTAAAAATAAAACTTAAATTCTTTGTTATTAATTATTATAAAATTATTATAAAATATACTATAAAAGTATTTCGTAAACTATTGATTTTTGCAATATATTTTGCATGCATCATATTTCTCTCCTAAAACTGTGACTTCTTGAAACTTATAATATCTTTTTTTTAAACAAACAATCATTGAGATATATGAGACGTGAAATTAAAACGGAATATTCTGCCTACATATTTATAAAAAAATGCTCTATTTTTCAGGTTTGTCGATGGCGAATGCGGTTCTAGCAGCGGCGACAGTACGGGCCAATTAGAATTAAGCGGGGGCGAACAACCTGACGAATCATCCCCCGCGTCGATTCACGAGACCAACAACAACAGTCTTCTCCACGAAGATCTAGAGCGCAGAATCTAAGAAAATTCTATTCTAAACGACAAACGTTGAGTACACGTACACATACACACGACCACGTACACACGCATACATATACACGCACAGACTCTGTGATAAACTATCATATTAGTGCCTTTCATAGGGACAGCAATCCGCGACGATTCCACTCATTATTCGCCATGGATCTTCGTAGATCGTCGTAAGTTTGCGAAAAATCCGCGCTGGAATAACAAAATGATGATTCCGCAGAAACGCAATAGAAGAAACGCGAAAATAAGCGAAAAGAAGGGGAAACGATTAGAAAGAGGCATGGAAGAAACAGAGAAGAGAAAGAGAAAAATAAGATAAACATAATGAAATAGAATATAACAGAGAGTGAATAATGAAGGAACAAGACAGAAAAAGAGAAAGATATAAGGAAGAGTACGCGTTTTTTGCATTATACGTAATACACGGGACGTTTCCGATCTAGCGTATAATTCTTCTCGAAGAGAGATTTCTCGATACGACCCGAGAATCGAGATGTCCTTAGAAGAAGTTTCATAGGAAGCCATTATATTTTTATGACTTAATTTCTCTCATGCTATAGAGATATCTTAGCCAAACCCCTCGATCTAAGATTCCGTTAAAGCGACATTCTAAAATAGGTTGAAGAATAACGTTTCATTACGTAGTTGAATTTTAATTCGTTATTAAAACCGCTCAACTCTCCCTCCCTTTTGACTCAAGAACGAGCAACTCTAAATATGAAACAGGTAGCAAAAATTCTCTTGTTAGTCTATTTTCTTATATATTTAGGGCTGAAAGATAATGTACTTCTCCAAATATCTAAGTAATAACGTGTTCAGATTGAACGTGCGTCTCGCTGTACATATAGAATATATCGAGAGAGAAAGAGACAGAGAGTGAGAGAATGAGAGAAAGAGAACATATCCGCAAAAAATATTTATATCGTACGGCACATCGAGTGTACCGAAAATAACGGTTGTGCAAATAATTCACACATCGTTAGATGTGTCTTTCTATCGATCGTTAAATTTCCATTAATTTATTCTTTTATCAACATTGCCGACTTATTAGTTAGTGCAAGATATTATCATGCTAGTTACAACTACTATTACTATTACTTTTATTCCTATTACTAATACTATTCTGTTACGATACTGCTCTATTATTATTATTATTTTGCAACCATCACTCCTACTATTATTCCTATTACTATAACTACTATGCAACTATTATTCCTATATAGTACCATTGTTACATGGTTATTAGAAATATTATATCTTTTAATATTTTATTTCGATTAATATTCTATTATTTTGAAATCTTTTAAATGATTATTATTATTACTGTTATTATTATTACATTATTACTATTATTGTTACTATATTAAATTAATAACACATTATTTTAATGTTTTATCCTAGTAATGTCATCTGTTGCAATATATATGTTTCACTCACATTTCTCCGTCCGTGAATTATCTATAAAGACAATCATTTCGATGCATTTTTGCCAATTGGTATTAACCAACCGCAATAACTACATTTATAATCTTTTATCGATCATCAATTACCAATTATATTTTTAGCTGGAAGCTATACACATAAGTAATAATTGTTTGTTGGCCAATTAGCAATTACAAGCGTAATTAACAAATGTAAAATTAATTAAATTACATTTGATGATTACCAAAAGATATGCATTACAATTTTACCCATCTCTGCTTCAAAAATTGTTAGTTATGTAAATTAAATTTTGCATAAAGATGGAGAGGCATAACAGTGGTCTGGTAGGACTGACTAAACAGACTAATCAAGCTAACGATTATGTTAAAATTTGTCAACTGTAATACATTTGTAACAAATCGAGTGCAATTAATTTATTAGTTACGTAACTATCATAACATTCATGTAGATGCATAGTACCGTCGCGTCAGTTAGATTAATTATTCAGTCGCGTAACTTTACGTCTCGAAGTCATAATTAAGTTTCATAAGAAAGTCGATTATCGCAATTATTAATAACAGTATCATCATCAATGCGCGCTATTATCATACCGTTGTTACTATCATTATCATTGTCACTGTCACTGTCATTATGGTGGTAATTGCCACGGTCATTGCCTTACACACATTATTATTATGACATTATTACTAAGTAGCATTTTATTATGATTCAATACCGCATTTATACAATTCTCTGTATTTACTATTTATGCGCATGAATTATTTTTGTAGTTAGCTAAAAATGACTAAGATTTAATTGTATTTCCCGCGATGTTTGTAAAAGCAGTCTTATTATAAAAAATTTATATGGCATATATTTATTACATATTATACAATATTTTTCATGTAAATATTCGCGTTGTGTTTGAAAAATTTTATATAGAAATACAGGGTAATTAAATTGTTCACTCATATATTATAACTTCTTTTTTAAATGCCTTAAATGGAAATTATTAAAGAGAAAAATGTTTCGCTTTAAGAGATTTATTATATTATAGTAAAAAAAAAACAATTCTATATTCACCGCTTATTTTCTCGAAATTATCGAGACCGTTTTCCCATTTTTTTTTCTTTAAATAGGAATAAAACTTATAATTTTGTAATACATTTTGATTTGCATCAACAAAAAATTGAGAGATAAAACGTTATTAACGAGATGAGAAAAAGATCAAAAAGAAGAACCTCTTTTTTTCATTAGTTTTATTCTTTAACATAGAGATATTCATATTTTACAAACTTTATTTAAACTTCGGGACAACGGGGAGGGACATATACATGGCATTTAATTTTTATTGCTCTTGACGGTATGTACGATAATGGCCACAATTAAAACGAACAGCGTCCCTAATAATCCAAGCACAAGAGCCATAAGAATTGTGTCGACTGGTAACCACGTATCTTCCTCTTGAGTCCAGGTAACGGACTCAGCTGTCGCAAACAAGCTATAAACGATGAATACTTCATGCATTATTCGGCCAAATCTTTTATGTTAAAAGAATCGGTATGCAGAATAGTCAGGTAAAAAATATCGGATTATAATCCAGTACTGGGCAATACACTTTATATAAATCTTTGATTTCTTTAGATACGCGTTGAGGAAATAATAAAAGACATTTTCTATGATATTTAAATGGTGAGCATTGCTCAATTTGTTTTAGTGCTCTCTTCCTCGCCACTTTATATTTTACCGTTAAAATGATACTTTACGGATTATCATGCATTTTATATACGAAGGAAAGGATGTTTTGATCGTGTTTTGCACAGTCCTGAGTATAATTAGCAATGCGGAATGCCGACGTGCTGGTTTCCATTTCTTCCTTGGCGAGCTCGTCGAAGGACAACGTAATAGCGTTGTCCAGATCCTTTCCCAGTTGTTTGAAGGTAGTTCTGCCGAGCCAATCGGCGAGATCGTTGCGATTTAGCTGTCGAAGCCGATGTATAATCGCCGCGTGCGTCTTGCCCCGACCCTCCGCCGGGGAACTATTCCAATGAAGCAGTTGACGCAGACACGGGATCTCCTCGTCCACCTTACGCTCTTTTATTCGCGAGAATAAAAGTTAGTATATATAGAATCCTTCGACACGCGAATAAAGCGAAATCAAATTAACGAGGCAAGTGGTTTAAAATTATAAAACTGGAAAGGAGAGCTGAGAGCTGACCTGCCGCAGCCAGATTCTTCGGCAAGTCGTAAGTCGTGTAATGAAGCGCGGCGATCAATCGTCTGCACTCGTACGGGTCCAATCGAGCCGCGAGATACTCCAATTCGCTCAGATTCACGTCTATCGTCCCGCGGGCTCTTGGGATAAAAATCGTCGCACTGATCGTAACGTAAATACCGATCGCCCAAGACCGCATTTTTCCGTCCAAACGAGACGACGTTACAGGAATAGAAAAAGAATCGCGCAGATGAAAACAAAAGACCATCATTCTGTCTCGTACATGTACGTGTGTTTTTATTTCTTTGGAAAGATGTCTCATTTTTGCTCATTTACTTGTCGATTAACCTTCTTCTTGGTCTCATCGTGTCTGCCTCTTCGCTTTCCGTCCTCGCTTCTTCTTTCTGTAACATTTGTAACAGGGGGTCGGTGACCCGTTCTCCAACCTCTCCGGTTCCCTAGGGATAATCGGCGCGGTGACTTCCGTCGGGATGTACGTCAAGTCCGGCGACACGGGTCTCTTCCTCTTTTTCCGCAACTTCTTTCGTCCTTCCTCAACATCGGAGAAATACTTTCTAAACATATTTCGCAGACTGATCACGATCGCTTTCTTCACATTCTAATCGAATCGCGGAATCGCGCCGAGAAAGAATCACGTCGTAATATAATACAGTATTATGCAACACGTGCATGGAAAGTGCCCCATTACGCACGCTACGCGTGCGTGATAGACCACTTTCCAGGCACTTGCAACATAAAATAGGGAGTGTAAGCCGTGTGTAAAGATGAAAATTCCCGGGTGCGGTTACCGCACTCGCCTTCGGCTCGTGCGTAAATTCCGCACCCGGGAATTTTCATCTTACCTCACTTGTTACACAAATAACTATTGTCTTATACTGACTCTTTTTTCCGCCTCCCCGTCAGCTTATTAAAGATCCTCGCACACTTGTTTCTCACGAACAGGGTGCAGCAGCAGGTGCAAATTATAATCGCGATTACGATGCCGCCAGCGACGTACAGAGACAAGGAGATCGGTCGGCGTCCTAAAATGCGTTGTGTCGGCCACGAATGTGCATCGCTTTGAAAACCTTCATTGGATACTCACCTGATAAAATATCGTGGAAGATCGCGCTGGTATTATTCATTCCTCGTTTCTTCAAATGCTTTTCGTACCATTTTGTTCTATCGTCTCGGCAAATGTTATTGGAGAATAGTAAGGGTAAGCAATTGACATTTCGCGGTTAGGCGAATCGAAATATACAAACGAATACAATGAAATGAATTGAAATATCACGCACATGCAGATAACGTATATTTGGCTAATATCACGTCTTGTTATCATTGCGCAATGTGAGATAAAAAATGAAGTTGTGATCCTAAAGCCGTGATCCTAGTCGTTTTTTTTCTTAGCACTAATCTTTTAATTAGCTTTATAGAAATGCAAAATTCTTGTCTAGAATTAAAGTACGCATCAAAATCTAGGTCATGGTGGTCGAATTTATATGTGGTGGTCGTCACGTATAACAAAAAATATTAATTTTTTTTCGAATTGTGGTGGTCGAATTTATATCGAAAACGAAAAAAAATTAATATTTTTTGTTATACGTGACGACCACCACATATAAATTCGACCACCATGACCTAGATTTTGATGCGTACTTTAATTCTAGACAAGAATTTTGCATTTCTATAAAGCCAATTAAAAGATTAGTGCTAAGAAAAAAACTGAAAAAAACCGGCTAGGATCACAGCTTTAGGATCACCTTAAAGCGATTGCAGTATAAAAGAAATATTTGGACAAAATGATATATTATATTAGATTAATAAAATAAGTTTGTCCAATAAAATTGAAGGTAAAACTTCAACAAAAATGAAGTCAAAATGCAGTTATGGGATTTAATACTCTTCTTTCTATTTAGAAAAAAAATTCTTCAATCTGTAGAGAACATCGGCCTCCTAGTTTTAAATATTTAATATAAAATTTGATGAAATTGGATAATTTGTTGTACCAATCTAACGCAATATACTTTATTGCCATATGAACATATAATATATTATATGTACAAATTTCATCATAATATTGCATCATATTGATTTCGTTAATCACACTTTTCGTTTCTCAGAACGCCAATCAATATAATTTATTGCAAAGAACAGCGAAATGTTCGTCGCGCAAGTTAGTTATATAAGTTTCGTAAATATTATATTTTGTGAAGAACATATCACGGCCGACTAAACTTTTCGACAGATTTGTCATCTTCAAAAAGCGATATACAATACATGCCACAGATTCGTCAATTATAAAATTCAAGAATTGCGCCCGAGCACATCTCTCAATCTGCGTAAACTTGATTGATTTTCGTAAAGATCAAGTCCAACGTTTTCTTCCAGGCCTCCTGCACATCCGATGTATATTGCTTCCCGAATAAGGAAGGGAAAAGCTCTAGCATCAGTTGTTTCAATTCCTGAAAGATAATTTATTACAATTATTATATTTTAAGGAAAGAACATATATTAGAAATACAGATAGAGTTAATGTCAAGCTGACAAAAATGTTAGAATACAAGATAAATAACTACAATCAGCTCGTTCCTCGTTCGGAAAAATAATTTCGTGAAATAATTGTAGTATACAGAAAGCAAAGATTAATTTATGTCTCAAGTCATTATGATCTCAAAGATCTTTTTTATATCTATGTATACATATAAAAAAACTTTTGTATTTAGGAAATACTTAAGCATTTTAAAATAAAAAAGGTAAAGTCAGTTATATAAAAAGACAATGAAAAGGGAGGTTTATAGACAAAATTTTAGATGTAAAAACATATCGTTGTTACATCATTAAGAAGAGAATGTAGAAGACAAAAAGATTAGCATTCACTTACCTCAAACTGCTTCGGTGTTTGTCCGCGGTTCTTGTGTTTCTCGGTAAAATTAATCAAGGTCGCTTCCATCAATTCCGGATCGTGCATTTGTTCGATCAATTTGCCAAGCGTCGCCACGATATTGGCACAGTGCGCTTGAAACCTCTTATTTTTCGACAGTTCGTCGAGAGGGACGTCCTTAAACGGCTTAAATTCTTTTTGAGCTTCTGGATATTGTTTGAAATAGCTATAAAAGAACATGTTCTCGTAAAACGATGAAATCGTTTAAGGGCTACTGATCTGTGTCGTTAAAATCGTATTAAATAAAATAATATAAAACATTGGAGAAATCTCATGCATTGATTGCAAAGACAAATAGTGATAATGAGAACATGTTTCCCCATTGTTAAAAAGGAGAAGTTAATATGAGTGAGCAACTTAAATGAATTATTCTATAAGTGATGTATGATCTGTCATGAAAGTTGTAACACCGATTTTTTAACATGCATCACTTTTAAGGAACACTTAATTATTTTTTATACATTTTGATATTAAAAAATCTTAAGATTTTAATAACCACCGCAACTTGAATTCAGACTTGATTACATTATTACGAGTATATAATGTAATGTATGACATTAATATTTTTCATGCGACCTTATTTACATTAATATTATATTTTGTAGAAGATCGAGGTGCAGTGCAGTACAGTTTTCTAAAAGACAGATAAACAGATTTTTATATTTTAAGTATAACTTTGATAATGAAGAGGAAAAAGAGGAAGAAAAAATAATTGAATTAGTATCATAAAACGATGACTATTCAGTGATAGCTGGGATTTATTATTTCCTAGCGTTAACTTTTTTAAATAATTATATTCAAATACAGAAACTGTACAAGAACGTATTGAAGTATATCAAGAAAGAAATAGAAATATATGAGAATATACAGGGTGTTATCGAAGTAAGTACACAAACTTGAAGGGGATATTCTTTGGCTTATTTTAAGAAGAAAAGATCCTATAAACATGTGCCCTAAACTGCTTCGTGACTGCTTCATGACTGCTTCGCGTGTCTGCTTATGTTTATAGAACTTTTTCTTCTTAAAATAAGCCAAGGAATATCCCCTTCAAGTTTGTGTACTTACTTAGGTAACACCTTGTATATGAGAAGCAATATATAAGAAGAGAGATATTTTTATATTTTTTGAAGAATAATGAAAGACTCAAGTTAGTATCGCAGATAGCTTGCTCGTAATGAAATCACGGATTTTCTCGGGCAAATTTAAATGCCCGAGTATGATTGTTGGACGCAGAGTGTCATTAAGCATATTAAGCCATTCGAAAGAAGCATGCCGCGCGTGAAAATACGTGTAATAATACATCTCTCGCGGACTTACAAATTGTAAGTTCTATTTGCGGCACCGATCGCCTTAGTAGAGATATAACATTAAGCTGTAAACAACTATCCGATGTCGCAATAATTTATCGGTATCACATGTGATAATATGAAAGCGGCCCGCGGCACGGCGCGGCGCGGCGCGACGTTGAAATTTTCATAGCGCGCGTTCTCTGCCGCATCTTTTGCGACGCATCGCGACGCAGCACGCATTAACAAACGCGAATGGTTTCGACGAGACGTGAGGGTATTGACGAGGAGGCCCTAAGCGCGTGACATGGTTTTTTTATCATGCACCAGATACGCATCGGCGATTCATTAAATAAATGAATGGCTTGTTAGAATGCGGAAGTTCTTCGAGCGAGAAAGCTTCGGTCGCGTCGGAAGAATTTCTAACACGTTTCGCGGCTATATCGTTTTGTTAATCCGCGACCAGCGCGATCTTATATTAAGAAAAATCATTATTTTCACGTTTATTTACACCGTTTACCGGCGCGATTACCTCCGCAATCTTTGCTCTGTCAAAGTTACGAGTATCGATCTAGCAGAGAAAGTGCGTGTGAAGAACGGATGAAGAAAACGGCAGTTCACTCACGCGAGTACGAGGGTGACGCCGACCGACACTTCGTCTTTACGAATGGTCGCCCATGTGTTCTGCACCAGTCTCTTTTGCTTCTCGGTCAGGCCGAGTTTCTCGTCTAACTTATTGTCGTTCAGAACGAAATCGAACAGATTGCGGAACAACGCCATTGTTCCGCCTCGCCGCCGTGCGGGAATTGAGCCTGATCTATGGAAAACAATTGCATCCGTTGATCAGATGATTATTCCGCAAATGATCTTTAATGGGAGACTCCGACTTCTCGTCATGAGAATAACTAAAGAAATAGACTCGCATATTGCGGTGTTAGTGTTAAATGTAACGAACTCTTATTCCATAATGTTTTTTTACGAAACTGATGATCGGTCGATCGACAATTTAATCGCGTGCGATTGATATCTGATGAAAGATCGGATACAAAAGTGATTAAAGAAGGATATGAGAAACGAAATATTTGAACGAAACGGCGTCTAAGTAGTTTTAATATATTAACTTTTTCAAAGCTATTGCTATTTATGTGTAATTAAATTATGTTTAAATTAAATTATGTTTACACGTTGATCGCCAAGCCATATTTGGAAAAAGGATCTTCGATACGCTAATTTGAATTTATGCACGTTAAATTATTCAAAACCTACACAAAATATAATATATAAAAATAATAAATATTTGTATCAATAGACATGTTAATGAATGTGTAACGAGACTGAATGAATAAGTCTGATAATAAAACAATGGGCCAAATCGCCAAATAATTGTATTTGGCAGTCAACGTGTTAAATATGAAACGACATCGGAATAGTAGAGAAAGACGCGAGAGGATATATCATTAGCTTTTTTTAAAGAAACCAATGTTACATGTATGAATATGTAAATTAATTATTTCAAACGGCAGTAATCTGGATTTGTGCACTTGTTAAAAAAGACAAACGCTTTTTTTTTACTACACGCCAAACGCGCTGAAATCAACGTTAACGTTAACGAACAGAAATTATCAGTCTCGTTACTACGAGACACAAATAGACTATCGCAACGGGTCACTTTTGTGTGTGTTTTTTTAAACCAATTAACAAAATTTATTCGCGCGTGAAAATGACAATTGTACCACAAAATATCCGTTAACGAAAAAAATGAAAGGAGCGCGACAAGAATTCAAAGCAAAATCAAAAGTGACGTTCGCGCGATATCAATTCAGCCTTTCTTTTTCTCTCGATTTCGGCGTCGCAATTATCTAAATCGCTCGTGAATGAAGAGATGGAGCATGAAAGATAACTGTGCTAATACCAGTTGCGGTGCCGAGGAAGAAACGGGGCGGCCGGAGGCACTTCGCGAGAGCAACTATACGGACTGACACGATGAGGCCTCGCTTATCGAGAATCGTATCAATTACGTTGTAATTCAGTGTGATATGTCACGTGCCACGCGTGCTACACTGGTCAAGCGGCGACTACTCGATGCTGCGGCCGATCTAACTATTTTAAAGTCATCCCCACTCCACTTCCGAAGATATCCCGATGAAGGAATTGCGTTATACGCGAGACGTTTTCCGTAGACAAACACCGTAAGCTCGACTATCTTTAGAAATCTCGATTAAACAACAGCAGGAAGTGCACTGATAACGAGAGCGGCATGAAATCTTTTCGATAAATATATGTAAATTGAATTCAATAGCGACAATATGTGATGCGAATTAAACTTGTATTCCGTCTTCTGATTTGGGAATACAAAAGTGCATCTCTACTTGCATTTAGATATAAATGTGTGTATGGATGTGTGTGGTAATATTTATAATTTTATACACTTAATTTAGGATATAATAATTTTATATATTTTTTCAGAATTTTTAAGATAGTATAAAAATATTTTAAACAACGTGTGTTTAAATATTTTATATAGATTATGTTTAATATACTTATGTACATATACTTATGTATATAGTTATGTATATTATACTTATGTATATACTTTGTATGTTATAAATATTATATATTTTTTTCTGCAATTATGCAGCGTCTTTCACCAATTAAAACAAATCTAGAATTCTAATATAAGAAATCTTATTGTCTTGTAACTACAACTGCTTTTATTTGAACTGTTTTTCATCAAAACTTAAAAATCTGGATTTGGATAGCTGTAATTCTAAAATAAATTATAAATTTTCTTCCAAAAAGATTCAAAATAAAAAGCGCTTTAATAAATACAAATTATTGCTGAATTATCTTTGTACATACCTGGTGATGATCGC